GCAAGTGCGCGGGCGCATCTTTTTTAATGTCATTGCGAAGCATTGCGTATTGATATACGTATGCATATACATAATTTCGCGGCGCTCGATTTTGAAATCCTTGCGAGACCGGATGATTGTCAAGGATTTCGCCGTGCGCGCGCGACGACGCGCGTGTGAATTTCGGCCCATCTGTTGCAAGGGAGTCTTGAAAATTGCAGATTTTTGATAAGCGAGAGTGTGCGCAGTGTAGTTTGTTTCAGAGGATGGCGGGGGAGGGGGTCGATACCGATTGGGCTGGGATGATTCGAATTCATATTCAGGGTTGACGAGGGGCCAGGATCATAGATGAGTTCACGCGCGAAGCCAACAACGGATAAGTCCGGGGGGATGGGGGTATAAATTGTTTCTGCTAAGACAGGCGAATATATACTCTGCAATCTAAGTTCCGCACGTATGTGGTGCGCAGTCGATGCGATGCATTCGACGCGGAGCAACGCATGTGGTGTAACTTATGTTGCGCAATCCACGCGGTGCAATCTGCGCTGCGCAATATATTCGCGCAGTCTACGTCTACATGGGACAGTTTATGTGGTGCAGTGTATGTTGTCGAATCTTTGTGGTGAAATCAATGGTGCGCTATATGCTGTGCAATGTCTGTTAATGTATGGTGCGCACCCTTCTGGTGCAACCTGCGCGGTGCAATTAATTTTGAAAAATTCGGAGTTATCAATTCCACTGCTCGCGCAACCATCCCGTCCGGCCACCCGCAACTTGGTCCGCAAAACTCACGCGGCGGCGATTGCGATGAATGCTTGGCGCTGGCTGGTGCATCTGCGGCCGCCCGCGCATGCTTTCGCGCGCAGCGGCCAGCTAGTTTGGCGCGGCCGCGCTGGCGCTGATCGCTGGGCACTTCCCAGCGCGCCTCGCAGGTCGCGCTGGCGCGCGGGCATTTAAGTGCGAGTCGGTGGCTTGGGCGGGCGCGGTACCATGGCGACGTCGACATCGGGGGGCGCGATGATGACAGTGGCGATGATGGTGCCGATGACGGCGATGACAGCAGCAAAGCAAATGACGGCGCCGATGCTGATGACGCCGATGACGATGTAGGCACCCTCGGGCCCGCGTGGCGGCATTTGACAGGGATCGTGCCCCCCCAGCACGCGCGCAAGGTCGCTCGACTGATTTCGACATGCGCGCGCGGGAGGCCGCCCAGGTCAAATGTGGAGATTTCGAAAAACCGATGGTTTAGAATTTGCAAGAGCGCGCGCATATCTTTTGACAACGGATGTTGCACAGCGATGCGTTTTTCCCAACCATTTTGTTGTGTTGGGTCATGGGTCATCATGTTGGAGAGACGGTCATCGCGTTTGCTCTTCATGCCCCCGCTGCCCCCTCCCTTCTCCTCATCATCATCATCGTCATCGTCATCGCCCGTTTCATAACACCCCTCGAACGTTTCGTGGTCCCATAGGGATCTCCACCGAAGACCCAACTGACAGCGTTCGCGTGCGCCCACCGCACTCAAATTGGCACACCCCATGTGTTCGCACCCCCCATGTTGGGCGGTAGTTCCAACAGAGCAAGTGGCGGCATACCAGCTCGCCGACTCCTGCGCCGAGCAGCTCGCCGACTCAAGTGCCGACCAACTCGCCAACTCCCGCGCCGACACGCCGACCAGCGCGACGACTCCTGCGCCGACCAGTTCCACATGAGCCATAGAACCGCATCACGACTGTGAAGCAGGAGCAGCCGATTCACGATTGCGTCGCGATGGCATTTGCCACTTGAGACACGCAGCCGCATCACGACTATGAAGCATGAGCAGCCGCATCCCGATTACAAAACAGCGCAGAGGAGGCAAAATAGATGAGCTCACCGACCAGCTCGCCGATTCCCGCGCCGACCAGCTCACGGGTTCCAGTACCGACCAGCTCGCCGATTCCTGCGCGGGCGAGATTGCCGTGATGATGATATATGCCGTGGATGGGGCAATTCTTATGTCATCAGCTTGAGCCAAAACGGTCATAGTAACCGCTCTGGCCGTCGCGCACGGAACCCGTGGAATTCCTAAATGAGATTGTTGCCCTTGATGATGACGATATATGCCGTGAGTGGGGCAATTCCTTTGTCATCAGCTTGAGCCAAAACGGTTATGGTAACGGCTCTGGCCGACACGCGGAACCACTGGAATTCCTAAATGAGATTGCTACCGCTGATGACTCCAATCATGCCGACTCCTGGCCCGAGGACGCTTGACCTCCAGCAGCCACCATCTCGACGCGCTGGCCTCCGACATCCGACGTCCGACTCCTGTGCAGTGTCACGGGCACCAGCGCCAGCGCCTACGCCAGCACAGTCGCCAGCACCGACGCCGTCACCAACCTCGGCGCCGACCTCGGCCCCGATTCCGGCGCCTACGCCAACGCCGTCGCCAGCACCGACGTTGACACCGACGTCGGCACCGCCCCCAATACCGACGCCAGCGTCTACACCTGCACCGTCGCCAGCACCGACGCCGCAACCACGAACAGGCGTGTCGCAGGAACGTGGCCGAAATACGATGGGTGGACGCGCAGCGCAATGTTACCAGGACCGCTTCGGCCGCCACCTGAGGCGCCTATCTGCTGTCGAGCGGCAGGTTGACAGTGCGGCATCAACATCACCATCGACTTCGACTCCAATGCCCACGTCACCATCGATACCAGCACCGGCGCCAGCTCGGTCGTTATCATCGACGGTGTTGGCTCCGTTTGTGCGGGAGCATCTCGAGATACACACGTCGACATTGCCATCGACGCACGAGTTCACATCAACATCGTCACGGCCACGACGCGGAGGACCGAAGAAGTACCACGGGAAATCCTAGACACAGATTCTCCTAAGCAGATGCGGGATTTATGTGACAGGCACTTTTCGTGGCCCCATAGGGAGCCCCACCGAAGGCCCACATGCCAGCGTTCGCATGCGCCCACCGCACCAATGTTGGCACACCCCTCGCACGCTTCGTGGCTCCATGGAGAGCCCCACCGAAGGCCCCAATGCCAGCGTTCGCATGCGCCCACCGCACCCATGTTGGCACACCCCTCACACGTTTCGTGGCCCCACAGGGAGCCCCACCGAAGGCCCAAATGCCAGCGTTCGCATGCGCCCACCGCACCCATTCTGGCTCACACGCTTTGTGGCCCGATAGGGGGCCCCACCGAAGGCTGAAATGCCAGCGTTCGCATGCGCCCACCGCACCCATTTTGGCAAGCCCGTCACACGTTCCGTGGCCTCATAGGGAGCCTCACCGAAGGCCCAAATGCCAGCGTTCGCATGCGCCCACCGCACCCATTTTGGCACACCCTTCACACGTTTCGTGGCCCCACAGGGAGCCCTACCGAAGGCCCAACTGCCAGCGTTCGCATGCTGACCACGCCGATGACGATTATGGTGTCCACGTTTCGGCGATGCAGTTCTTGGAAGGATTTCTACATGCGCGCGATGACGACGCGCGCGGGTGGTCCGCATGGTGTTATTTGAGAGGGATCGTGCTCCCCCAACACGCGCGTAAGGGCGTTCGACTGATTTCGACATGCGTTTGTGAAAGGCCCGCCTTGTTGGTCGCATGTAATTTGAATCATTCAAAACCGATGTTTTGCTAATGAACTCAGAAACGAGCGCGCGCAGACATGTTTTGAAACACCGTGTTGCAAAACCATGTTTTGTCGCATGCTGTCGGGGCCTTCGATTTGAAGTCCATGCGGAACTTAAAAGTTTGCGATGGATTCTGGCATGCGCGCGACGACGCGTGCGTGTCCACTTCGTCCAATTTGGCGCAAAGGGTTGTGTGAAATGGATGATTTTGTGATATACGGGTGCGCGCACAGGATGCTTTGACGAGGAAGAAGGGGGGTCGATACACTGCCCTAGCTGGAACGCCCCGAGTTCACATAAAAGATGGATGACGGGGAAAAGTCGTCTATAAACTGCAGTGCGTGAGGCTGGGCGGATAACCCCAGGGGGGGGATGCTAGATCCGAGTTCCCTTTGAGAAAAGAGAGTCCCACGTGGTGCGCAGTCTTTGCGGCGACGAGGCGGCGACGGAGCGGCGACGGCGACACCATAGCCGCCAGACCGCCACACCCGCCCAGACGACGGGTGGCGACGAGGCGGCGACGGGGCGGCGACGGAGACAGCATAGCCGCCAGACCGTCACACTGGCCCAGACGACGGGCGGCGACGAGGCGGCGACGGGACGGACGACGGGGCGGACGACGGGCGGCGACGAGGTGGCGACGGGGCGGTGACGGCGACAACATAGCCGCCAGACCGCCACGCCACACCAACCGAGTTCCTCAGAACAGAAGTGAGAACCACTAAGAGCAAGCACTGTTTGGGGAACGGGTGTAAATACATGTATGTACGTATATGAATACTGTTTGTCTTTCTTTCCGCCCTGCTGAGTAATTGGTGCGCTCGGCCTTGCACCCCTCTTTCTTCTCGCTTGTTTTTTGTTCTGTCGTCCTTTCCCATGACCTCTGTTCAGGGCTGTTCTAGCCCGAAGGCCGGCATAGACGATGCCGAGACGCCCCAGGACCCACCCCAATTTCTCCAAAAGGCAACCCAGAGGCTCCTAAAACGAATTTAAAATGGCCGCTAGTAGCTCTCGAGAGGCTCCGTTAAGCTGCTCGAACAAGCCCCCCGCACGCACACAAGGTGTTTCGATACTCACTCACGGCAGTGACAGCCACTGTCATGAGCTCTTTGGGTGCCTCCTATGTGATGACTGTTATGTTTTGTTTCTCGTTGTATTTGCTGATGTGCCTCACCTAATTCTTTGGATGTGTCTTCCAGGAGGGCCGACGGTACCGATGATGAGGGCCAGGGAGCCGACGATACAGATAATGATGACGACGATGATGTTGGCCACAAAGGCGACGGCGACAATGTGTGACGACGAGAACGAATACACTATCGATGTCATGTGTACATGCGCGTAGGAGGATGCGGAGGAATGAAGGCATGCAAAGGGGGAGGGAGGACCGTGCTGGTACTGCCGTGTTTTCTGATGTCGTGTCCGAAAGCATGGTGCCACCGCTGGCTTTTTTCAAGTATGTGCGCGCTCTGTTTGGCTCAACCCATCGGTGCACCAGGCACTGCTTGCTATGTCGCTGCCAGTGTTCCACATAACGGGCGGTAGCTTTTACGAGGTGGGCGTTGCGCACGGCAGGGTAGCAAAGGACCGAATCCGAGGCTTTTTGGATCTGCCGTATATTGGCCCGCTGAGGTCACTCCGGAGAAGCAACGGGAGCGTGTTCTTCAAAGAGCTCGTCAAGCACAATCGCAAAGCTTTTCCAGACTACGCAGACGAGATTTCTGGCATTGCCCATGGTGCGCAAGTTGAAGAAGACGAGATATGGATGCTGAACTTGCTAGGTGAGCTTGATGGTGGTCATCGGTACGGCATTCCGAGTGGCATGACTTCCGCTTCACCACCAATTTCTCCACGAACTCGGACCCCAACTCCGTCGGATTCCGCATGTAGCAGTTTTGATGACGGCCATTGTTCATCTTTCATTTTCAAGGACGAATCTGGGGATCTCTTGCTAGCCCACAATGAAGACTGGGACGCGGATGTCGCTGATCTGATTTATTTGTTAGATGTGACGTATCCAGGGGATGAACATCTCGTGGGTTTCGGATATCCTGGGCAGTTTCTTGGCTTTGCTATTGTATCGAATCACCATGGCCTCCTTTTCACACAGAATTCGGTTTTCCCTCAAAAGCTAGAGGTCGGTTTGGGCGTCACGTTTGTGAGTCGTCTGGCGATGAAGGCAGCACGCCTTGAAGACGCAATTGAAGTGCTGACTACGCCTGGGCAAGCGTGGGGTATCAGCGTAAACTTGCTTTCGCAATCAGAAAAAATCGGGGCAAACGTTGAAGTGGGTGCCAATGGAAGGTCCCACGTACGCTACATCGCAGAGCCCATGGCGTACGCACCCCATTTCAATCAGTACAGCCATTTGATTGATGCGACTGGCTGGGCGGGTCCGGGCAGTTCTGCTCGTACAGCCCATGAGCAAACCAAGGAGCCACCAGGCTGTCTGAAGGACGTGACACATCGCCTCTGCAATCGTGATGGGGCTGGTGCCGTTTACAACCGGACTACATTTCTTTCGTTGATCGTAGAAGCTACCGAGAGGGGAGCAATTTCTTCTTTATGGCACAAGGTGCCTCCCTGTGGATCTCAGCCAACATGTGTTTGGCATCTGGGCGCAGGGATTGTCAGCTGACTTATACTGATTTTCTGGACTCTGCTGAACTAGCGTTGAAAGATGAGGCTGCCGTGTTGCGCTCGTGATGTTCCACCTTGTGCACGTCTTCAGCCACAGCAGGTGTGATTGATTTGTGCAGGTGTGATTGATTTGCGCACGCGCTTCAGCCTTTGCCGTATCGCCTGCGGTGATAGTAGCGTCGGCAGAAGGGTGGCAGATGGGCGTTCTGATTTTTGAGCCGGAGTTGATGGTGCCCCTCGCGCAGGCACATGATTGACGTTCCGAGGGCTCTACATTACCCAAACTATGTTTCAAAAGCGCCCCCCTCGAAAACACAGGTGCATCGATCAGCCAAGTGCTGCTTTGTGGTTCCGGAGTTTCTGGGGTCTTCCATCTTTTGCAGATGCTTGCCTGCAGCTCCGGCACAACGCAACCACTTGTTCTCCGCCCTCTGTCTCCCTCTCCGTCCTCATCCATTTCCTCATCTATTCTCGTCCTCGTCATCGTCCTCATCCTCCACCCTTCCTCTGGCCACCTACCCATCCTGAACTGAGTTCCCAGGCGGCCACAGCGCCATGCCGGCCGAGGGTATCAGTCGTCGAGCGGATGCCATCCTCTATCCTTCTGCAGTCGTCCTTACCACAGCCCCCGGGCACCCAAAGCTTCCCTCGCCGTCCCGTCTGCCGAGGATCCCCCCCAGTTATATCCCGCCCAATGATCCTTGTTTGGTGTTCGGGTTGTAAGTCTGGTCTCTAGCCGCCGTTCCGGACGATCCAGGCCCCCCCCGAACGCTCTCGGCGAGGCGCAGCTGCTGGATGGAATGCATCCCGAAGCTAGAAAGCCGCAGAGAAACAACGAAAACGCTCAAAAACCTTGTTCGTCGAGCGGATGCCACCCCAGGGCAGCCAAAATGTTGCTCCCCGTCCCGCCCGCCGAGGATCTCGGTCGTCGAGCGGCGGAGGTGGAGGAGGAGGAGGAGGAGGAGGAGGAGGAGGAGGAGGAGGAGGAGGAGGAGG